GGAATCCAGTGGCTGATCAGAGAGGGACTGCAGGGATCTCTTTGCCAGTGCTGAGGCAGGAATCTCTTGCTTTGCCCGTGTTTGGATCTGGTCATAGTTCTGGGCAGTGGTGCTGGGGTGAGGAGGAGCACTGGTGTGGTGGAGCTCGTAGTGGATGTGGAGAGAAACCCTTCCTCACAGTTACAGGACAGAAAGGAGTACTTGTGGTCACAGGCCAGGAAAGGAGTAAACACCTCCCCCCTTATCATACCACCTTGGAAGAATTGAAAACTTATACAGGTCCCTACAAGTATCTCTGAAAACAGCTGTACAAACCCCAAGCTTGGGACAGTACATTCTCCACATTGGAAGCAGACTCTTTACCTTAACAAAGAGTTTAAAACTCAAGTAATTGGCCGGATCATGAGCAAGCAGCACAAAAAGAGTCAGACTATATTATCTTACTTTAGTGGAAAAGAAGATCAAAATATACAACCAGAAGAAGACAACAAAGTCAAAGCTGCTACATCCAAAGCCTCCAAGAAAAATATGAATCAGTCCCAGGCCTTGGAAGAGCTCAAAAGGGATTTTGGGAAGAAAGAGGAAAAACTGGGAAGAGAAATGAGAGTGATGCAAGAAAATCATGAAAAACAAGTCAACAGCTTGCTAAAGGAGACCCAAAAAAAATACTAAAGAAAATAACACCTTAAAAAATAGCCTAACCCAAATGGCAAAAGAGGTCCAAAAAACCAATGAGGAGAAAAACGTCCTAAAAAGAAAAATTGGCCAAATGGAAAAGGAAGTCCAAAAGATTACTGAAGAAAATACTTCCTTAAAAATTAGAATAGAGCAATTGGAAGATAGTGACTTTATGAGAAATCAAGACACTAAAACAAATCCAAAAGAATGAAAAACTAGAAAACATTGTGAAATATCTCATTGGAAAAACAACTGACCTGGAAAATAGATCCAGGAGAGAGAATTTAAAAATTATTGGACTATCTGAAAGCCATGATCAAAAAAAGAGCCTAGACATCATCTTTCAAGAAATTATCAAGGAAAACTGCCCTGATATAGTAGAACCAGAGGGCAAAATAGAAATTGAAAGAATCCACAGATCTCCTCCTGAAAGAGATCCCCAAAGGAAAACTCCTAGGAATATTGTAGCCAAATTCCAGAGTTCCCAGGTCAAGGAGAAAATATTACAAGCTGCCAGAAGGAAAAATTCAAGTACTGTGGAAACACAATCAGGATAACACAAGATTTAGCAGCTTCTACATTAAAGGACCTGCAGGGCATGGAATATAATATTCCGAGGGCAAAGGAGATAGGATTACAACCAAGAATCACCTACCCAGCAAAACTGAGTATAATCCTTCAGGGGAAAAAATGGTCATTCAGTGAAATAGAGGACTTTCAAGCATTCCTGATGAAAAGACCAGAGCTGAATAGAAAATTTGACTTTCAAATACAGGACTCAAGTGGAACATGAAGAGGTAAACAGGAAAGAGAAATCATAAGAGACTTATTAAGATTGAACTGTTTACATTCCTGCATGGAAAGATGATATTTATAACTCATGAGACCTTTGTCAGTATTAGGGTAGTTGGAGGAAAAAAATTATATGTATGTATATGTAGATAGATAGGAGATTAAGGGGTCATATCTGGAGAATAAAATTAAGGGATGAGGAGGATTATACTGGAGGAAGAAAGGGAGAGGTAGAATGGGGTAAATTATCTCACAAAAAAAAACAGAAAAGAAAAGTCTTACAGTGGAGGGGAAAGGGAAGGTGAGAGGGAATGAGTGAATCTTATTCTCATAGGATTTGGCTTAAGGAGGAATAACATACACATTCAATTGGGTATGGAAATCTGTCTTACCCTACAGGAAAATAGGGGGAGAAGGGGACAAGAGAGCAGGGGGATGATAGAGAGGAGGGCAGATTGGGAAAGGGTGTAATCAGAAGTAAATACTTCTGAGGAGGGACAGGGTCAAAAGAAAGAATAGAATAAATGGGAGGGCAGAATAGGATTAAGGGAAATAGAGTTAGTTTTTCACAACATGTCTGCTATGGAAGTGTTTTGCATAACTACACATGTACAACCTATATTGAGTTGCTTGCCTTTTCAATGAGGGTGGGTGGGGAGGGAGGAAGAGAGAAAATTTGAAACCTAAAGTTTTAAAAATATATGTTTTTATAAAAAAAATGTTTTTACATGCTCCCGGGAAATAAGAAATACAGGAAATGGGGTACAGAAGTCTATCCTGCCCTCCAGGAAAATAGAAGGGGAAGGGGATAAGAGAAGGGGGGAGAGAAAGAAAAGAGGACAGACTAGGGGAAGGGATATCCAGAATGCATGCCATCTTGGGGTGAGGGGAGGGGTGAGATGGGGTGAAAATTTGGAACTCAAAAACTTGTGGAAATGAATGTTGAAAACTACAAATAGATAAATTTATATTTAAAAAAAAGAAAGCAAGCTAGAAAGCCTGTGAGGTTGAGGTGAAGAGGAAGCTTGTTGCAGGCACAAAGAAGAGCCTGTTCAAAGTCACTGAGTTGAAACATGAATGTTCTGGATGGGAAACAGTGAGTAGCCCAACTTGGATGGAATGTTTGCCACACTTGAGTTCCCTGGAATGGTGACATCAAAAATCTGGATCTAAATAGGCTCCACCACTGTGACCTGTGTGACTCTTCTGGACCTCACTTTCTTCACTGGCAAAATGAAGAGACTGGGTTAGATGACCTCTGAGGTCCTTCTGAGCTCTAGAGCTATAACCCTATGACCTGGATTCAAATCCTGTTCCACTACTGTAACCTTGTAGACCTTTTTCTAACCTCTATTCTATGTGGTTTTTGTACGTACCTATTTATGAACATGTTTCCTGCAGTAGGCACCTTGAAGGTGGGGCTGTTTTTCCTTTTTTCTTTTTTCCAGAACTAGGAACTGTGCCTGGCACATAGTCAATGCTTAATAAATATTTGTTGACTGACTGTTGATCGCACCTTGGGTGTGATGCCTTGCCGAGTCCTTTTCAGGGCTGCTCATCCACCTTTGGAGTCTGCCTATCACTCAACTCTCACCTGTCACCCAAGAAGCTGTAGCATGTGCAGCAGCCACACCCCAATAAACCATCTCAGACGACAGGCTAAACCAGGCTGAGGGTAACCAACAGGCCTCAAACCCATTGGTGAATTGGGGGATATCTACCCCAAGCATGTGTAGATGTCCCCCAGCAGAATGGGTGGATGAGAACAATTTGTTCTAACAGCCATGAAGGTGGCTAAAGCAAGTACTGTGGAGCACTTTGTGCTTGCTCAGACAGTGAAGATGCTAAGGCCATCCACTGCCTTCTAGGCCATTATCAGTTGTCCAGACTTTTGTCTTACTGCTGGATTTCGATGACGTTGTGAAATTCTGCCTCACTTCAATCCAATTCAACCGCAGGGTGCAAGTCAAGACATCACCCCATGATGTCATTGGTCCTCTTAGAAAACAAAGGGCAGACAACAACAGATAGAGACCCCGAGAAACAGAGAGACAGACAGACAGAGACAGAGAAGTGTTGAGTTGTGGGGTGTACAATAGGGATGGGAAGAGGAAGTACCAAGTGGACATTGGGCAGGAATTTGGGGAAGGAAATCCAGTGAGGTCGGGAATAGTCTGGGAATGTTTTCAACTGGAAGGAGAGACTAGAGTAGAGGTATGAGGGATGACATTTCAACAAGCAGAGGGAAAGGAAGAGGGCATTCCAGAGTAGGATGAGATTAGGCATGACTTGTTTGTGACTCTGTCCATCCAGGATTTAGTTCTGACTGAATGAGGGGTACATGGAGCTAAAAATCACAAAAAATCTTTTTTGAAGGTAGGTATTTCCAGAGCACCACCAGAGAGGAAGGTCTGTGGGTCACCCACACTTTTCTTCAAACTGACCTCTACTCAACAGCCCACATTTTAAGGTTTCTTGACATTTTTCCTCTGATTCTTAAAGTTGCTATTTGGGGGGTGGGGCTAGGCAATTGGGGTTATATGACTTGCCCAGAGTCACACAGTTAGTAAGTGTTATGTGTCTGAGACCGTATTTGAACTCAGGTCCTCCTGACTCCTGGGCCAGTGCTCTATCCACTGTGCCACCTAGATGCCCCCCTTTCCTCCAGTTCTTAAGAGTCTGTAGCAGATAGAGTTTTGTTTCATCTTTTTGTCTAACCTCCATACGTGTGGCTTTCAGAAAGGCCTAGTATACTCCCTCTGAGTAATTTCATTAGCCTCTCTGGAACTCCCTTTCTTCATCTGCAAAATGACGAGTCTGGGATAAATAACTTCTGAGGTTCTAGACCATAATCTTATGACCTGGATTCACATCTTGCCTCCACCACTGTGACCTGTGAGACCTTAAGCAAGTAATTTACTCTCTCTAGGCTTCAGTTTCCTCCTCTGTAAAAGAAAGGGGTTGGAGTAGGTGACCTCTCAGGTCCCTTCCAGCTCTAAATCTGAGATCCAAGGAACTGGGACAGATGAAATGAGAAAACAACAGAAAGCAAATGAACCTAGTGATATTACAGACTAAACAAATTCCTGACACACATACCTAATTAAGCTGAGGAAGTTCTGAAGGGCAATCTGGCAAAGCAATGTCATTTACTCAGGAAAACTCAGATGTTCCATAAGGGAGCATAAGTTTATAAGGTTTCTTGGTAGCTTCAGTGTAATGGTTAATGACCTCCCTTTTGTCACGTTCAGCGACTCCAAAAGCTATTGGTCTGCATCCTTTATCAAGGAAATTAACAAAATATTAATAGGAACTTATCGCATTGAAATAGAGGCTCAAAAATTTTTTTTTCTACATTCAGGGACCTAAGGGTGTGTGCTTTGGAGGATTTCCACAAAGAAGTGATGATCAATTAAAGTTAAAAGTAGCATGTTAAAACAAAATCTAAAACCAACTGTAGAACTATTAAAAAACACTCCCCACTCTCACCCACCTTTTATTGGAAACAACTTTGGATGCGTTATACTCACCCTCCCGGATAATGACTGAGGACTTTTATGTTCATCTTGAATTGACACTATCCAGACCCCAAGCATGGAGTTGGCTATAGATAGAAAAGAGAGGTCATTTCTTAGGGGGCTAGGGAGGAGGCATCTGTGGTTCAGCTATCTGATGGCTTGAAACAGAGTATAGGGTTTAAGGACTTGCCTTCCCTGGTGCCTGGGGCTCCATAGACTGAAAGGAGAAATGTGACCTTCCCTGTATAGGAGAGAAATATTCATCTTCCAGACCTCCAGTCCTAGGGAAAGTTCACCGCTGTTTGTCTGGTTTATCTTTTGAAGTTGCCTGCCAAGGCCAATCTGTTTTAGTACTTTAAAGGCCAGATGGAAGGTCACTTTTATTGCTTGCTGAGGGCCTGAACTCCAGTGAAGCAGACTTCCCTTCCTTGTGATGACTTGTAATATCTCTTCTATGATAACTTATGATCTATGCTATGTAGGGAGCATTTCTCGGCCAGCCAGAAAGTCCTTATAGGTCAACTGAAGAGTATAAATATGAATATATGTATGTGTATATATATGTATATTTGTATATGTATGTATATGTATATATATACACACACACATACACATATATATACATTTACATGTGCGTGTGTATGTATATATATATATATATAAAATACTTTAAGAGCAAGTATTTATACCTCTAAGTTTTTATATTTATAAATATATACACATGTATTATATTTTATATTTTATATTTTTATATAGGCAGATATTTGTTTTCAGTTGTTTCAGTCATGTCTGAATTTTCCTGACCCCATTTGGGGTTTTCTTGGCAGAGATGCTGGAGTAGTTTGCCATTTCCTACTCCAGATCATTTTATAGATGAGGAAACTGAGGCAAACAGGGTTAAGTGGCGTGCCTAGTCTAATCTGAGGCTGGTTATGAACTGATGATGATGAGTCTTCCTGACTCCAGGACCAGCACTCCATCCACTGTGTCACCTAGCTGTGGCACTGGACCTGGAGGGAGGAAGAACTGAGTTCAGATCTGGTCTCAGATACTTACTGCTGCATTCTTCCATTTCCTGATCTGTAAAATGGGGATAACAATAACACCTATCTCCCAGGGTTGTTGTGAGAATAAAATGATATAATATTCGTAAAGAGCTTTGCAAACCTTAAAATGTTGTGTAAATGCTAGCTATTTGAGGGGGGGGAGGGAAGGGAAGAGAATAATCATTGCTATATAGCACTACTAAGTGCTTTACAAATATTATCTTATTTAATTTATTATTATTATTATTATTTGAAGGGATTGATGAAGTGGGGAAAAAGAAAGCTACCATGAGCTAGGTGGATAGAATACTGGACTTAGAGTCAAGAAGATCTGAATTCAATTCTGGCCTCAGATACTAGTAATATGATTCTGAGCAAGTCACTTAATCTCTGCCTGCCTCTGTTTTCTCATCTATAAAATGGAGATAATAACAGCACTTATATCACAGGATTGTTGTGAAGACAAAATGAGATAAAAAAGCATTTTTTTCTTTTTTTAATTAATGTATTTGTTTTTAGTTTTCAACACTCACTTTTATAAGATTTTGAATTCTAAAAATTTTCCCCCTTTCTCTCCTCCCCACTCCCCAAGATGGCATGCAATCTGATATAGGCTATACATGTGCAGTCATATTAAACATATTTCCACATTAGTCGTGTTGTGAAAGAAGAATCAGAACAAAAGGGAAAAATGAGAAAGAAAAAAAAGAGAGAAAATGGTAAACTTTGATCTGCATTCAGACTCCATAGTTCTTTCTCTAGATGTGGACAGCATTTTCTACTATGAGTCTTTTGGAATTATCTTAGATCATTGCATTGCTGAGAAGAGCTAAGTCTACCAAAGTCGATCACTGCACAATGTTGCTGTTACTCTGTACAACGTTCTCCTGGTTCTTCTCATTTCACTCAGCAGCAGTTCATGTAAGTCTTTTGTGCATCATTTCTTATGGAACAATAGTATTATATCACATTCATATACCACAACTTGTTTAGCCATTCCCCAATTGATGAGCACCCCCTCAATTTCCAATTCTTGGCCACCATAAAAAGAACTGCTATAAATATTTTTGTACATGTGGGGTCCTTTTCCCTTTTTTATGATCTCTTTGTGATAAAGACCTAGTAGTGGTAGTGCTGGATCAAAGGGTATGCACAGTATTATAGACCTTTGAGCATAGTTCCAAATTGTTCTCCAGAATGGTTGGGTCAGTTCACAACTCCACTAACAATGCATTAGTGTTCCAATTTTCCCACATCTTCTCCAACATTTATCATTTTCCTGTTTTGTCATGTTAGCCAATCTGATAGGTGTGATGTGGTACCTCAGAGTTGTCGTAATTTGCATTTCTCTGAACAATAGTGAGTTAGAACATTTTTTCATCTGACTGTAAATAGTTTTACTTTCTTCATCTGAAAACTGCCTGTTCATATCATTTGACCATTTATCAATTGGGGAATGACTTGTATTCTTATAAATTTGACTCAGTTCTTAGAAATGAGGCCTTTATCAGGGACACTGGCTGTAAAAATTGTTTCCCAGCTTTTTGCTTCCCTTCTAATCTTGGTTACATTGGCTTTGTGCAAAATCTTTTTAATTTAATGCAATCAAAATTATCCATTTTACACTTTATAATGTTCTCTATCTCTTGTTTGGTCATAAACTCTTCCATTCTGCATATATCTGACAGGTAAACTACTCCTTGCTCTGCTAATTTGCTTATAGTATCACCGTTAATGTCTAAATTGTGTACCCATTTTGATCTTATCTTTGTATACAGTATAAGATGTTGGTTTATGCCTAGTTTCTGCCATACTGTTTTCCAGTTTTCCCAGCAGTTTTTGTCAAATATTGAGTTCTTATCCCAGAAACTGAAGTCTTTGGTTGATAAAAAAGCATTTTGCCAACCTTTAAGCTTTCTATAAATGCTAGCTGGTTTTTCTTATTTTCCTTCAAGTCTTAGTCCTCCCTGGTTCTGAATGGGTGAGTTCCCAAAGGCTAGCTCTGCCTTCATATTAATAGTCTGGGGCCCCATAGAAACCCATCACTTAACTTTATTTGCCCTATAAATGAAAACTAATCTGAGAGGGATATTGTGAGACTCAGAGGAGCACAGACGGAAAAATGCTTTGGATAGTATAAAGTGATATATGATTTTCCTTAGGTAGGGGCTGGGGGATTTAGACCTGTATTTCCATTCATATAGGGAATGCCTAGCGAGGACTTTTTTCTATAAAAGCTGATCAGCAACTGCTTTGCAACTTGGAGTGTTAGAGAGTTGTCTTAGGAATCAAGAGCATAAGCCACTTGTTCAGGGTCACACAGCCAGTAGGTGTCAAAGGCAAGACATGAACCCAGGACTTCCTAACTCCCAGGCATGTGCTCTATCCCCTGCTTCATAACGCTTCTCAGTATGTCCCCCTATGAATAGTAGGTATCAAACCATAGAATTATAGATTATTGCAACATAAAGAGATCTTAGAGGTCATCCACGTCAACGGCCTCATTTTACATAGAGGGAAACAGAGGCACATAAAGGTTAAGTGACTTGTTCACAGTCATGTAGTTAGTATTTAAGATGGAATTCGGAACCAGATTGTTCTGACTTTAACTCTAGTACCCTATCCACTATGCCATACCTCAGACAAATGTCTGCCTCTGGACTAAGGACCAGGTGGATATTTGTTTTGCTCTTTACAAGAAAGATAGCTGAGAAATGGCCCCTTCACAACTATGGCAAGATTTACCTAAACTATGTTTTAGGTAAAGACTGTATGTGTCTTCATTATTTCAGTTTGAAGTTTCTACCAGATGAGGCTTAGAAATGCCATGTCATTAAATCCTTGCAAAATGGCATTTATAGTGGAAATTGCAATTAAGTCTTCAATGTGACTTGGTGGGTGACTAAAAGGGCCTGTACAATGGATTCTGTGGGAAATGTTAGTAGAAGCAGAGCTGAAACGCTGTTTGAATTACTCAGCCTCAGCAGCCTCCGTGCTCTGGATGCTTGCCCAGAGCTGAAAATTCAATTTGAAGCATCTTACGACGAGAGCTCTGGGAAATGTGTCTGGCACTGACATCGTCCTTTCTCACCTGACCATATTAGACCAAACAGGCAGAGCTAGAGACAGATAGGAGCAACTTTTTGGATTCCAGAAACTAAGAGAGGAGAGCAAGTCATGGGGGCTGGGGTGGGGGGAGGAAGGGCGTGCTCATCCATGGTTGAAAGCCTTGGTTTAAAAGGAGGAAGGATGGTTTAGAACCATAGTCCTTAAAATGCTCAGTCTACAAGCCACTTTCTGTGTCAAAAGCAACCTATAAACTTGCTGCTACCAAAGAAGGGTATTCCTGGGCTCTTCAGGCTAATGAAAAGACGAGTTCAGTTAAAGAAAATTCTATTGCTATTTTCTGCTTCCAGATCAGGAGTGTGTGTGTGTGTGTGTGTGTGTGAAATATATGTTGGAAATCTAGATATAGGGATGGAAGAGGGGTAGGGATTGCAGCATTAGTCGACCATATACCTACTTGCAAATGGTAGATTCCCAGAAGTAAGGATCAATGAGAAGAATTTAGGGGAAATATATGGAAAGGCACACATGTGACCAAGACATACCCGTGATAGGGCAACACTGCTGATGGTGTAGGGTCACCAGTGTCTTCTAGCAATGACATTATACTGCTCCAACTGAGCCTCTTTCCTACTAGTCTCATATGGCATGCAACCTATGCCTGATACGTAGTACCCACTGGATATGTGAACATGACATGTAGTCTCCAGAAATTGCTCTCAGCTAAACTTGAGGATCTGTTGGAAATTGTTACAGTACTACAATGGTCCCATGGTCACTGCCTCACTCTGCTTCAAGCTTTTGGCTTCAATTGAAGTCTAGTTGAGGTGCTACTTCCTCATTGGAGGAGGTGGCTCTCCCACTGCTTTTTTAAAACCCAGAAGCTTTCTGATACAGTCATTTTCATTAATTAATTATTATTTGATTTTTAGTTTTCAACATTCACTTCCATAAGATTTTGAGTTTTAAATTTTCTCCCCACTCCCAAAGACAACATGCAATCTGATATAGGCTCTATATATGCATTCATACTAAGCATATTTTCACATTAGTCATGTTGTAAAGAAGA